TTCAGCATGTGAGTGGCTATAATTATGGCTTCAGGTTGCGCAGTGTATAACACTTTTGATAGAATTATTTTTTTAAAGCCCAAACGTCATAAATTGTAGAAATATGTCGCCCTTAGTTCTCCATCGGTGGAATCATTTTATTGCGGTCATGAAGTGTTTTTCGCTATCCATCTATCTATCTATCTATCTATCTATCTATCTATCTATCTATCTATCTATCTATCTATTATTATTATTATTATTATTATTATTATCATTATTATTAGTAGTATTAGTATTATGATGATGATGATGATGACGATGATGACGATGATGATGATGATGATGATGATTATCATCATTTTTTATAATTATCTATCTATGGCACCCCACAAACACAGAGAGAACACGCAAAAGTGTGGCGCACCTATAAAACAAATGTCGTAGTTCCCTCACACACACACACACACACACACACACACACACACACACACACACACACACACACACACACACACACACACACACACAGACAGAACATGGAGAGATGCGGGGCAGCTCACAAACACCACAGCATCTACCCGGAGACATCTTCGACGGAGATAGTCCAATCTAAATACTTTGTGCGTTTGGATAAAGTTAAAAAAAATCTTGGGGTTACGGGTGAAAAGGGGGGGGGGGGGGCTTAACCAATAATTTGATATTTTGCAGTTAGTTTTGAAATTTTCTTGAAAATAATTGATATGCGACAGTTTTAGGGTCTATATGTGTGATCTGCAGCAGAAAATACTCAAGTTTCACCCCCAAAGCGGTGCATCTGTGTGCGGGGGATACGTCTCCAAATAGTTCATGTGTGCTCGCCGGAGACGTCTCCGAATATCTTCTGCTCACAAACACACAAACAGGAGTCATTCTTCCCTCTCACACACAGACAAGACGGAGTACTTTTTCCCTCACACACAGAGACAGAACATGCGGAGGTGCGGCGCCTCTGAGGCAACGCACTTGGGCTGGTCCCCGTAGGCGTTGGTGCGGCTGACGCCAGTGGTGTCCACATAGAAGGCGCCGGTGTCTGTGTTACGGCTCAGAGTCACGTCAAACCGACCACCGCCTGGTTTGGTGATGAAGGTCACCTGGTTGGGGGCAGGGGCGGAAGCAGGGGTGAGGAAGGGGGAGGGTGTTAGTTTTAATTTAGGAGAGGGTTTACAACGATCCCAACTGCATAAGGTCATATGAGCGCAAGAAGATTAGAGGCGTTACAAGAGAGTAACAAACACAAAAAGAAGGAGGGGAGATAAAGACGATAGATATTTGAAGGGGAAGAAGGAGCAAACCACTCCAGAGCACCCGCCAACCACCCACGGGTAGTGAGAGATAAAGAATGTTGTTTGTAAAAACAAATGGAATAGTAACAATAATGATAATAATAATAATATGGATAGGGATAACGATTTTATAATAATTCAATGGTAATAGAAATAACAATAATTGCAACCATATAAAATATTATGGGGTTTGTTTAACAGCAGAAAAAAGTGCAAAAGATAATATTGATAGCAATGTCGACAAAACATGAAGAAGAAGAAGAAGAAGAAGAAGAAGAAGAAGAAGAAGAAGAAGAAGAAGAAAATCATCAATAATCAGATAAATATTCATGGATTTTTATTGAATATTATAAGTGAATTTAGGGAGGTATTCACATAATATAAAAACATTATACATAAAATACATAAATACAGAACATAATATTATATAATTATGCATTTCCTTTTCACCTACATCCGACCTTACCCTTTCCACCCCACTACCACGCCCTTTCCCCCACACGTACACACAGACACAATATATACCTGGTAAGTGACCAATGAACGTCTGGTATTGTCCGTCATTTTTCCGAACCGGCCCCGTCCGCCGTCATTCGTGTCCTTGAACTTGAGGACGGATTGGCGTGTGGTGTGTTGGGACGCGGAAATGACCTGGTCCACTTCCAGACGAGCACATTTGCTGCTGTATTTCTCTGAAAACAGGAAGGGAGAGTTTTGTTTTTCTCAATTTGTTTGCTCGTTTGTTTCTGTCTCCGTTTTATGTTGTTTTGTTTTGTTTTTTGTTTGTTTTTTAATGTGTTTGAATTTTTTTTGTTGAATTTGTAAATAATTTTGTGGGGGGTTTTTGTTGGGGGGTTTTTTGTTGTTTTTTTTTTGTTGTTGTTGTTTTGTTTTGTGGTTGTTGTTTTTTTTTGGGGGGGGGGGGGGAAAAAAAAAACCCCGTTTTTTGTTATTCGATTAGGTGTTTCGACTGCTCACTAGGCCTAAATTTAATAGACTCCATTTTTTTTTAAAGCGTAGGGCGGAGTTGTACACTAAGCAATCTACTTGTTTAACGGGCCTATCTACACAATAAGTATAAAATGGTCATGTAAAGGAACGCAGAAGGGTGCAAGATGCAAAACATGCTATAGTTTGGAAAGGTTCGTGAGGTACTTTGTGGTATGTATTATTAAGTGTGGTGTGTTTACGTGTGGTGTGCTCTATGTGTGTATGTGTGTGTGTATGTGTGTGTGTGTGTGTGTGTGTGTGTGTGTGTGTGTGTGTGTGTGTGTGTGTGTGCGTGTGTGGTGTGGCGTGACGTGGCGCATGAAACAGAGGCAACTTTGTCGATCTCTAGCCGGGCACATTAACTACGGTGTTTCTCTAGACAGTGTGAGAACAACATGACCCATCCGAGTTGTCCAATAAAGAAAACGTTCTCCCACCAGGAATTGGATCTCGGACTGTTCTAATCTAAGAATTGCAAAGCATAACACCAGTTGAACTAAACAAGGTCTGAAGTCGACGATTAACATGTTGTTTTTTTTTGGTTGCCGATTAGAAGCCGACTTTTTTTTTCTTATGGCATGTCTTTACGTGACTGTCATTGTAAGTTTTTACGGGCGCTCATATGACCTTATGCAGTTGCGAACGCCCTAAAACATCTATTTTAAATAAAACAAAGTATTTCACGTCCCCATCGACACTATTTAGATAATGTTGTCAGGACCCGCACACGATGAAAGCGATAAACATTCAAGCAGATAGACAGAAATACGTTGTTTTAGTAGAGGTTTCACGGCGCTCGCAATCACAAAAAAAGGGAACGAAATTCTAATAGCATAAGATATAATACAAAAAATCTTTTGTAGTTTTAGTAGAGGTTTTACGACGATCGCAACTGCATACGGTCATATGAGCGCCAGAAGATTAGAGGTGTTACAAGAGAGTAACAAACAGAAAACAGAAAAAGGGGAGATAGGACGATAGATGTTGTTGTTGTTTTTTTGTTTTGTTTTTGTAAAGTGTTTTACGGCGCTCGCAACTGCATAAGGTCATATGAGCGCGCGGGACAGACTTAATATTTTCAGTTGGTAGGAAATTTTGAATTTTGCCCGGGTGGCGGCCGAAGCCTACTCTTATCGATTTTAGACCACCAGGGGATCTTTAACATGCGCAACTTGTACACGGGCCCTCCGAGATTTTTCGCCCTTGTCCGAGAAGGCTAGGTGTAGATCTTTCCTACCAGAAGATCAGGGGTGTGGCAGAAAGACAGCAGTAAGGAGGAGCCAAGGAGTAACAGTAGAAAGGCTGCAGAAAGAGTCAGGAGCCCAGAGGAGAGGGCAAAGGAGGTGAGGGGTGGGGGCAGAAAGTGGAAATGAAAGCAGACAACAGAACATTGCTAGAGAGCAGGAAAGGAGGTGACA